TGGTCCCTGCCCCTGCCCTGGGCGAGCGGTCGCGGCTCCCCCGCCGTCGGGCGCCCGCACGGCCAGGTAATGCTGCCGGGGGGCGCGGGGATCCGGGACGAGGGGACACCCGGGGGTGGCAGGTCCCCCGGAGGGAAGCCCCCCACAGCATCCGGCCCCGCGGACTGGGGCTCGGGCTAAAACTTCGCCTCTTCCCGGCCCCGTCGCGGCGCTGCGCGGGGCGGTCCCAGCGGGATCAAACACGTTTGCTCGCCCAGGTGCCAGGAGACGTGGATAGCGCCCGGGAGCCTGAAGACAGGGTCGAGCCGCCCCTTTATCGAGGGGGAAGCTTATTTCGTTAGCCTGTAGAGCCGGCACCTAAGCTTTGAAGCCAAGTTCACTTCTGCAGGTGCAGCCAGGCAAGGAGAGGTGATGGAGGATCTTGGCCCTGGCAGCACCTCTCCCTACCGCCTGCAGGCACTTGGATGGCAAAGGCCACTTGTGGAGGGAGGGCAGGAGCGATTTTTGCACCCGTTCAGTCATGTTGAATGGGTCCACGGAGCTTGTGAAAGGCAAGGAGAAGCCCAAACCTGTTTCTTAAACTTTCCTCCACAGCTGCCAAGTGACTGTAGTGCTGCTGGTGGAAAGCAGCTAGCTTCGCAAGGGTTGTTGCTGAGTTTCATCCTAGTGCAGACCATTTTTTTTTCCCTCCCTTGCAATTGCTGTGATAGCTGTAAGGGCTATGTTACAAGTAATTTTTTAGCACAGTAGGATGACTGAAGTAGGATGCCCAGCACTTTTCTTCCTTAGCTCCTCTTGCTGGCATGGTGCAAAGACAACTGACTATGTGCAATCCAGTCATTGCCAAAATTTTGAACCTTGTCTGTTGCCCTCTTGATGCATTTGGTTTGCAGATCACTGTAAACCTTAGGTCCTTTGTGCAGCACTGCACTGTAATCTAGGCAGATGTTCCTTGTGTTCTGTTCGTGCATTTAATCATCCTTTGCCTGTGTGAACTACTTAGCAAGTGCTGTTGCAGAGTTTCAGCCCACTTTTTCTAAATTGCCAGGGTTATTTTGGATCCTAGTCCTGTATTCTGAAGTGTTGGCTACTCCCTTCCCCCTCCCAGCAAGGTAGTATCTGTAGATAAACACTATTATCTTCCCCAGATCAGTAACTAAGAGAATGAACAGCAGGAAGCTCACCAATAGGAAGAACTAAAACCCCACTTTATACAGCATCCCAGTCCGGCACTGAAGGATTTGAATTCATTAAGTACAATTGAGTAAGCTGTGCACCCACCTTTATAATAATTTCATATTAAGCAGAATTAATGTTGTAAAAGTCAAACGCCTTAAAGCCTAGGTATATTACATCTTCCCAAGTCCTTGACATCTTGTCATAGAAAGAAATCAGGTTGGTTAGTCAATGACTTGCAATAAATCCATGCTGGTGGTTACCTATCACTTTGTCAGCCAGATTACTATGGACTGTTCAATTGAACGGCAAGGGAGAAGCATCCAAGCTATTTGCTGTAGCTTGTGGACTGGCAGCAGTCTTCAGACCACAGTTTGGGAACATTATCCGTGAAGTGGTTCCTCCAGCTAACACCACCTTCTAGACTATTAGATCCTGCAAGTTAAATGAGGCCTATCTGATCCAAAAACCTGTCTTAATGGATGCATCAAACTTTCATAAAAAGGAAATGAGAAGACTTTTGTTTATGGTCCCCTGGTGGCTTGTTGCTGCCTATGAATCCTCATCCTCATCATCAGGAATCCCTTGGATTAAGACCAATGAGCCAAATTCATTCCTAGTCACTCCACTGAGGTCAGATTCTCTGCCACATTACAGCCTCATTATCAGTCTCTGCTAACAGGGTGGGTTTCCCCCACTTGGGGGAAGATTAGCTTGCTGTAAAAGAAAAACACAGGGGAAGCAAGGCACTTCACTCCACAGCAAGACTAGACAAGGAAAAGGTGAATGCCTAAAATGCTTTAGTCACACTACTGTAAAAAACAACACAATGGAGACAATTGTAAACTAGTTATCCCATGGTAAGGAGGGCGTCTTTTCTTAGCAATGAAAAGAAGTTAAGTGGGCTTTGTAACATAACTATCACTTGCCATCTACTACTAGATCTTGCCACTAGGTATTGGGCTGAACTGGTTACCAAAACAGACTTCAAGATTTTTTGCTGTGAAGGCACTCTTATCACTTCTGTCTGGGGAAGGGCACAAAAGGAAAGGTAGCTCTGCCTGAAGTCACAGATGGTGTCAAGTATATGAAGGCACTAGCCAGCTGTAGTTCAGTAGTATTTCTCCTCCATCATGTTACTTGCTTGCAGGGATTAAGGACACATGATTCCCAGATAATCCAGCTCCAGTCTGTCAGGAATACAGATGTCCACTGAACACTAGATTCAGCAAGTGCCTTTCGCCACCCTAAATCATTAAACACACTTAAATGAAACAGTTTGGGGTTGTTTTTTTTGTTTGTTTTTAATGAAATAAAAGCCTTAGTGTAGAGCAAGGAATCTTCAGAGTCTCTTCAACTGCTCACCAAATACCACGCTAGCACAAACTGGAGGCCTCTCCATAACCAATTTCCCTTCTTTTTATCCAAGTATATTTAGTATTTTTGTGGCTAGAACTTCTTATAAGAAAAGAGCAGTTGGCCAAGATTAACCAAAGCGTTTGGGGATATTCTTCAAGCAGATAGTTGTGGGTTGTTTAGAATCATTTTCTAGCTGATGGGACAAGTCAGGTAGACATACATTCTCATTTGGGGAAATCCTGTATTTAAGAGACACTTGAACTAAGGTTTTTGTGTGTGTGGGTTTTTTTGGTTTTTTGTTTTTTTTTGTTTTTTTGTTTTTTTTTTGAGAGTACATCTTGCTCATGAGGAAAGAGTTCAAATAGCATCCAAAAAGTAATTTAAAAGATGTTAATGGGAAACTGGAAGTGCTTAACATTAGGAATTCATTTAATTAAAGTTCTCTCAAGATTCTGGGATGACTGAGCCTAGTTTGGGGGCTGTGCCCCTAATGACCAGTGCCCCTCTAGTATTAGACTACCTGAAATGGTTAGTAAAGTTGCTCCTATTCGATTAGGCTCAATACTGAACTTTTGCCTGGGGTACCCAAAAAAGGTTAACTGTGCCCTGATCCTCCTGTATCTGCCAAGAAGCCACAGTACAATGCCCCTTGGCACTGCAGAAACTCCAGGTTAGATGGTTTCAACTGCTTTTTGGTAGGGAGGTACCTCCTGAACTGCAATATGCTCATACAGCATAGCACCCAGGCTAGCTAATTATCTCTGCCTCTTAGCAGTGAATGAACATGGCATACTAAAGTGGCTTTGCCGAGCTGCAGAGTTAACTAGCTGGGGGTACCGAGCTGTATGAACACAACATTATCCATGCCATATTACACCCAAATGGCAGAATTAATTTGTTTTTAGCAGAGTTCATTAGCTTCTTTATATCACCACACTGGTAGTCATAGTAATCAGAACCAGAAGCAAGAATAAAAAGCTACTTTTAGAACACATCTGTGGAGCTACCAGGACAATGTTCCAAGTTGTTATTAAAGTGACCAATTACTTTTCAGGGAACATCTAAATACAGGTGGGATTACAGCCCAGCTTGGACGAGAAGTCAGGGGAAGGAAGCTGGGGATCAAAACCAGTTGGGTATGTGGGATAACCTCAGCTTTCTCACCTGCCCCCATCTCCATGCCTGCCCAGGAAACAAGGTGGGACTCTAGAAGTAGCAGGAAGCAAGAGGTAGAGAGACTGGGAGTGGCACAGGCAAGCTCGATTCTGGCATTTCCTACCTTTCAAGGATTAGTTATTTTGTTTTGTTTTTTTAAATTTACTTTTTAACCTGGTTACTGGTTTTCCAGTCTGAACCTTTCATCGTGATTTCAGTAATTGCCCCACATAGTCCAATCAGGATTTTAAAGTTCCATTTTTCTAAGTGTTGTGCAAATACACAGGGAGATGAAGCAGTTACCCTAAGGAGCTCCTGATCAAATTTAGTTTAATATGTTTAAAAGTCTAGTACAATATGAAAGATCCCAAAGCACCCATGCAATTTAAGTTCCTACATCCAACTCATTTTACAGGTCAGTAGAACTGACTTATGAAGTCTTGCTCAGGTGGGCAGCAGGGTGGCAAGGGGGAGCGGAGAGTCAGGTCAGGGAGACTCTTGGAGCCCTACCCCTAGCTTCCAGCTTTTAAAAAAAGTTGCCACCATACTGCCCAACTGGACAATAAGGGAAAGCCAGCAGGAGGCAGCCAAGCCCCCTGCTTCTTCCTAAGAGACAGGAACAGTTAGTGCTTTCCAGGGGGAGGGAAAGCCCACCCACCCAAACAAGCTATCCCTTATTTTCATTTACTTACATCAGTAAAGTGATGAGGAAAGAGTAAAGCTGACAGTCATTATAAAGTTCTCCAAGCAGGAAAGGTGGTTACAAACCAGCTCAAGTTGGAAGAGTAATAGCATGTTTATTTGTGATGGTCATTGACAAGACACAATGATAAGTAAGGGAAGGAGTATCATCAGCGCTCATACTTCGACCAAGCATTTTGTTGGCTCTTCATGGAGGGGTTAGATATTGCATGTGCCTACAGCTGATGATCCAGGTTTCCTTATTTATAAAAGGATTCAGTGGCAGACCCCAGTCCTAGATGAAACTCCATTGTACAAATACTTAGTAAAATAATAGTGCCAACCCCAAAGACCTTACAGTTTAAAACAAGAGAAACAACAAGTGACTAACAGGCTTTGCCTCCAGGGATGCTGCTGCACCTCCTAGGGGCTATATTATGCCAGTTCTCCTACCCTGGCTTCCCTAATCTAGCCTTTAGATAGAGCTACCCCTTGCTTAACATTGTACTTATGTTCTTGAGAAATGCGACTTTAAGCAAAATGATGTTAAGCAAATCAAATTTCCCCATAAAAATTAATGTAAGATATGGGGGGGTTAGGTTCCAGGGAGACTTTTTTTGCCAGACACAAGATATTACCTACTTATACTGTAGTAGTTTTAACTACTTTTAAACTAGCAATACAGGTATAAGTTTTAAATTACTTATACAGTCACAATGAGTTAGAAACATTCAAGGAATACTTATACTGACACAGTGTAAACAACAGTGGCTGCCACACTGAAGCAGGAGCTTTGCTTAGCTTACATCACAAAGTAGCTACCTACTAGCAGGCAGCGGGCAAAGAGTATTATAACTGAACATTGTGCAGCTTTAAACAAGTATGTTCACCAATAGATCAGTAGTGTAATAATGAAACAGTGTTAACCCAGACAACATTAAGTGAGGAGTTGCTGTACCTGGATTTCAGCTTTTGCTACCTTGCCCTATTTTTCTCATTGTTAGGCTGCCAGTCAGCCCATCCTCACACTTTAGCGTGAGCAGGTCCTTTACCAATCCCAGTCAGGCTGCCTTTCAGGGTACCTACCCCTCCTGGCACTTGTTTATGTACTAGTCCCTGCCACAGGGCTCCAGGCACTTGGAATGCAGTACCCAAACTGCAAGGTGCTTTACTGGCATCCTCTGTAACAGAATTGTTCCTCACTGTACCCTTCATGGCTTCCTCCCCTCCTTTTCACCACCCCAAACTTCACAGTTTTAACAGAAACAAAATGCATAATTTACCTCCCCGTATGCTGCTCCTGAAGAGACTCCTTTGGTTGTGAGGATCCAAGCCAAACTAAAACTTGGATCCTAGGCTCAGACTTATGTGGCCCTTGCTCCTCCCCCCCCCCTTCCATTCACCTGACCTGGCTTGCTGTTTGTAAGGGCCAGGTGCTGCTTATTCAGCAACCCACTGTTGTACTGCCTGCAATCTGTAGACTGGATCCTACAGCCCATTTACCTGTGCTACTTGCACCTGCAGCTAGTCTCCTTGCAAGCTGCACTTGCTCTGTCAACATAGCAGGGGTTCTTTAGCCCTTTGCTGGTAGCTTACTTTCTGCTACCCTGTTCTTACTTCCTCTAAATAATAGGGGGCCCCTGTTGCAGTAGCTATAACAATGCAGGAAATGAGGCCCTGTTTTGACTGCTTCCCCACCAAGCCCACAAATAATACAGAGAAACAAGCACCACCTACTCACTTCTGCTCCACCTGTGCCAAAACTCAGCAGTTAAGAAGCATAAAAATGCTGGAGGGGGTTCTTGGACATGTCTCCCTTTTAAGCAGTCTACACTGCTGAGAGGGTGGGAGCAAGTGGTGGGGTTTGGTTCTCCGAATCCATGGCTTAGTTAGGAAGTGGTTACGACACAGCCTTTAACAATTACAGCCAATACTTAGAGCAGTAGTCACAGTAGGCTAGGTGCCTACTTCCTTTTCTAACCAATCTCCTGAGGAAAAAAAACCCCAAAACAAAACAAAAAACAGGAGAGTATTGATGAGAGGAGAAAGTGACAGTTAAAGAAGGTCGCATCAAGCTCAGTTTGTGCATACTTCTTTACTAAACAGACACTTACATTTTACCTAATACACTTTTGTGGCAAAAGTGAGAGGGCTTTTTTTCTGTTTTGTTTTTAAGGAAGGACTTGAATAAATCCAGAGAGCTGGCTTGGTATACAGGTTTTTAAAGAGCTTGCCAGGCAGGGAAGGATGCATGAAGAAATCTAGGAGAAGATAAAGTGGGACCAAGGTTCCTGCCATCCATGACCTATTTGAGTTGTCTAAAATGCAGAAGACTAGTTAAGAACATCCTAAACCTTACAGAGATCACAGATGTGGCTTGATCTTTGGAAGGTTTGCTGGCAGCCCTGGACATTTTTACTGCTGAAAAAGATCAGGACGGAGCCAAGTTCTCTTCTGTACACAGGTCTGACTCCAGTGAAATCAGTGGGTCTATTCACTGAATAAATGCCCCATAATTCCTATCAGGCTTCATCACAAAAACATCACACTATAGCTACATGCTCTTTAAAAATACTAGCTCAAAACATCAGTAAATACAATACACTTTAAAACCATATATTGATCTTTTTCAAATGTATGTCCATACTTCATTTTACCATCAATCAAGAATATTAAATGTTTCTTATTAAACCATATATATAACATTATTGTGGAACAGTAATTAGTATATTAGCTGATGACATTCATGATAGAAAACATCTTAGTTCTGAAGTCAGGATTGCAAAAGTCAATCAATGAATGGGTGAGAGTTGAGGTTACTGTTTTGTGATTAAATATACTCTACTTTGGATTTGAGAACAATAGTAGGCTTTGTTCTTTGTTGTCCCATGGAGTCACTTGCACTTGTATGAGGTGGTGCATGCATTTCCAAAATGGTGGTACCTCTTTCTCTCTCTGAACATGTTCGATTGAATGCAGAAAGTATGAGACAATGATGAATTGCATCCAATCTTCTTGTTTATCATAGACTAGAGAGAGGAATTTATACCACAGTCCTGTGTAAGGATCAATGTGGAACCACACTAGTACCAAAATACCTGCGAGATTGTGCTTCTCAAAAGGATGAGGCACACTGCTCGCCAAACATCTTCTCCACACATTCTTTCTGATTTCAAAGTGGGAATGGGGCAAGTAGTCCCTACCCATTCTGGAAAGCAAAGATTAGTAATGTGAACAGCCTGTACTCATCTGTGCAAGGTCAAGAAGCCTTCTCTTTGTTAGGTAAAGTTATATTCCAGTCTAATATGGACAATAAGATGTAATTTACTTGCTACGTGATACTTAGATTGTGTAAAAGATTTGAACTGTTCTCATTTAGCAACTATAGCAGGCATTAGAAACCATAAGAGTCGTATCCTCTGAGAATCTGTTTTTGTATTTGTTGTTATAGTAGTCCCTTGTGAAACAGGGAGTGGAAAGGGACAGAAACTGCCCCGCTAAATTGCAAGCATCTTCTTCAAAGTCTGGAGGCCCTAGAACATATCAATTAAATGTAAGGTTGGGTTTAGTGGAGGTGGGGAGCCGGGGGGTTGTTGCTGTTCATTGTTGTTTTGTTTTTAAAAAGGGCAAAACATTGCATTTTCCCCTAATCAAGTTCTGGAAAAAAACTGTATAGACTAAAACTTAAAAAATAATATCCAGCGCCAGATGCCTGACTGGAAAATTTCAGCCTGAGCTGTTTGTTTAGCACAGAGATAAGAATCCGAAAGCAATTTCGCAGTGCAGTACCATATTCTCTTCAATAATAAACATTTTTAAAACCAAATATTAATTCTAAAATGGCCTGCATCTTTCATTTGATATTTTTAAAAAGAGCTCTTATGCACCATAGAGATTACATCCTTTTAAATGTCTTTGTTTGATCTTTTTTTTTTCCTCCTTAAATTGAGGGATAGAACATTTGGGTGCTGCTCAACTTCAAGAATATCATGTAGTCGAAGTAATACAGTACAAGTTTCACTTTAGCTTATAAAAAGCAACAAATAGCATCCCTCTGACATTTAAACCTACATCGTCAGTTAGACATTTCTCTGTTTGGAAGTATGTGGCATTTCCTGACCGGGAACAAATAAGTCTAAAATTGCTCCCCAGAAGACAATGAGCACATCCATGTCAAGTGAGCAACTTCTCTTCCCCATATCAGAAGTTGCACCTTTGGCCATGGCTGGGAATAATGCAGTAACTAATGGATAACAGAACAGTGCTTCAAAAATGTCATACTTGCCTTAATTTCAGCCCTGCTCCATAGAAAGCCATTTCTGACTGTTCTTGGCTGTAATAAATTTGAGTTCTTTCATCCAGTTGGTAGGGGGGTTTTTTGCTGGGTTTTTGGTTTGTTTTTTGTTGGGGGGGTTTTTGGAAGGGAGCACAAAATGTAATGTCAGTAATGTTAAGTTTTGCACTCGTCTGCAAATTTCCACAAGGATGGAAAACAGATGAAAAATCATGTCCTAAAAATAATTAGATTTAAAAACTAACCATGTGAAATGGAAAGGATTAATTTATTAAACAATGGCTGTATTTATTCAAAGCATTTGCATAAGAAACCACCCAGGTACAAATCTTAAATATTAATATTCTGTACTTCTGTATTCCTCTTTTCAACAGTGATTAATGAAAGGGAAATCACATGTATAAACTGTGGCAAGGAGAACTGGGAGACCCCTAAGAGAGAGCCATAATGTCTTTAACCTGCCAGACAATATCTACTTGGCTTGGATTTCTTAAACTGAACTGCAAAGGACTGGCATGCCTCTTGGTTTTTACAGTAAGCGTATGTGGCAGTGCCTCTGGGATGTGTCCTACAGCCTGCATCTGTGCTAGTGACATTGTAAGCTGCACCAATAAGAACCTCTCTAAGGTGCCAGGAACTCTCTACAAATGCATAAAAAGACTGGATCTGAGTTACAACAGAATTGGATTCTTGGAACCTGAATGGGTCCCAATGCTATTTGACAAACTGAACTCTTTAATAATTAATCATAATAGTATTAGCAGTATTGTCACTGGAAGTTTTTCAACAACTCCAAATTTAAAGTACTTAGACTTGTCATCCAACAACTTGAAGACACTGAACAGCCCTGTATTTCAAGAGCTGAGAGTACTGGAAGTCCTTTTGCTTTACAACAATCAGATAACACAGATTGATTCTTCAGCCTTTGGAGGATTGTACAAATTGCAGAAACTGTACTTGAGTTATAACTTGGTCTCACACTTCCCTTTGGACTTGTATCTTGGAAAACACAAACTTTCAGAACTTGTGTTACTAGACATTTCCTATAATCGCATCCAGTCGATACCCATTCAACGTTTAAGTTTAGTGCTGGCCAAACAACTTAGTGGCATCTATCTTCATGGCAACCCATTCTACTGTGATTGCACACTATACTCCATGCTAATATTTTGGTATCATAGACGCTTCAACTCTGTGATGGATTTCAAAAATGAATATGCCTGCATCTTACGTTCTGACCTAAAAGGCTCCAATAAACTGCCTTTATTGCACGATAACTTTTTGAATTGCTCTGAAAGCACCATCAATGGCTCTTTCCATGCCTTTGGCTTTATTCATGATGCCCAAGTTGGTGACAGGTTAATTGTACACTGTGACAGCAGAATTAGTGAGGCAGGCACACATTTTGTCTGGGTTAGGCCGGACAATAGACTACTGGAGCCAGATAGAGAGAGTGACAATTTTAAGGTGTTTCACAATGGGAGTCTGGAGATAGTGGATGCTCAGTTGGAAGACTCTGGGTTGTATTCATGCATTGCAATAAATAAGAGAAGACTGTTAAATGAAACCATAGAGGTCAGAATAAATGTAAGCAATTTCACACTAAACCGATCCCATACTCATGAAGCATTTAATACTGCTTTCACCACCCTTGCTGCCTGTGTCGCCAGTATTATTTTAGTGTTACTTTATCTGTATCTGACCCCTTGCCCTTGTCGGTGTAAGGCAAAAAGGAGAAAAAGGAAACTGAACCAAAGTAGTGCCCATTCATCCATACTAAATTCTACCCCATCTCAGGATTTCCCAGCTGATGAGAAGAAGTCCAGCAGTGGTAAAAGAGTGGTGTTCCTTGAGCCTGTGAATGAGCCAAAACAGGGGCAGAATGGGAAAGTAAGGCTGTTCCCTAATGAGAATATCATTGCAGAGAGCATCTTGAAAACTACCCGATCAAAATCCGATTCAGATTCTGTCAATTCCGTGTTCTCGGATACACCTTTCATGCCATCGACTTAGTTTTCTGCCTGTATTTGTATTGTGCAGTTAAATTTCTTAATACTTCGCCTGCTTGTAGCAACCTTCAGGAAAAAAAACCCAAATAAAATGAGGAAAAAATGTTTAGAAAAACCTGCAGTGTCAGTCATTGAGAACAGCTTCCTTTCCACAAATGCACAGTAACAACATCTTACTTCAGGAAAGCAAACTGGGTACCATCAAAGATTTTATCTATACTACAGAGTTAACAGAGTCTTCTACCCCAACTGCGCACACAGTCCTGTCACCCACGGTTACAGTTGCTTTCATCCCAAACCGGCTGACTCACCTGCTTTTATTCAGGCAGTCTCCATCCCGTCACAGCAGAAAGGACATAGGCTAATGCACTTGGTTGCTGGTAGTCCTTTTGGGGACATGTGGGGAACAGTAGGAAAGCAGTGGAGGTCTGGCAGGTTCTCTTAGAATTTGCTAGGAAAGAATCACAATGTAGCTCAGGTTAAAGCAGAACACAAGAAACATAGGATACATCTCATAAGTCTTAGATGAGCATAGCTTCAGTGGGGATACCACAGCTCAAAATGACACTGTGCAGTGTCTGCTTAGTCAAACTAAGGTACCTTGGGTGTTCAGACCTGGGTACCAATCATTCAAGTTCACTACAGTTAGAATATACCCAAACTTGGGATAGGGAATACTTTGCTATATGGTTTTTAGTTGACAACTACGAAGCAATTGGGTTTGTTGTAGTGTGTGTGTGTGTTAAGCTAAACGTTTATAAGAAATGGCTTCTTATGTGTATAGAGCTAAATGTCATTTCAGTATCACAGCAGCACCAGTTAACAGGCCTCCAAATACAAAAAGAAATACCTTCAAACTTCTTCCCCACTCCAATGGAAAAGAATCAAATGAAGAGATTGCTCATGAAAGTAAGATGAACAAATCTGTTTGATTATTTGGATCCCTGTGCTCTTTATTCAACTTCCTTAGTAAGTCAACAACAACACTTTCACTAACATAAACACCAAGACTGGACCCCATTCTTCTGTGGTGGATTGTTTCTCCAAATCCAATTTTGGATTGCCTTTTATGTATTGCTTATTCTGCAAAACATGCAAGATTCTCATGCAATTTCATTTTAAAGATTTACATTAAGGAAGCTATAACATTTGAGTCCAATCCTGTAAAGTGAAAAATCCCCTCAATTTAGTTAGCTAAGGTTACTTAGCCTCTCATTTTGAACACCTAACACTGTCAAAAATGTCATATCCCCAAATAACTCACTAAATTAATGATTGGATAGTATTCTGTATTGCAGGAATTTATTTATAAAAGAAATCTTTAAAAATATTTTAATTCTTTCCAAGTATATGTATAACTTTATTAGGCTGGACTTTGCCACTCATGCTTACTGTAGGTTGAGTAGTATCTTCACAGAAATCAATAGGTCTGTAAAGAGAAAGGAACTTTATAAATTATTAAATTTAGCAGACCCTGCCTCTTGTCTCTTCAAATAATATACTAATAATAAATTACTACCAAAATCAGAGTCAAGGAGCTATATAATATAAGAAGGAGCAATTTGTCCAGCTAAGTGTTATTTTAATAATCATTTACCATTTGTATGTTTTCACTAGAGCAGCACTTCCTGATTTTAGCCCAGGTTAGCCAAAAACAGCCAACCAAATGAAAAAAAAGGGCCAGGATGTTGCTAGTTAGTTTTTCAAACAATTATTTAGAAAACAAATTAAACCATGAAAAATTGTTCCCAGGATATATGCAAATTAGGAGACAAAGGGAAGAATTAAAAATCTGTAAGATTTTTTTTTATTCAGACATGTAAGGACACAGATGACTTTTTATTTCACTGAACTTTTGGGTTGGAAAGATTTTTCATTTTATATTAAATAAAATTTAAGGAACTCCTGCTTGGAAAATGAGGCTGTGTACATCCTTCTCTCTCAGATGCCTCTTCAGCTGCAAACCTTAATTGGAACACAGTCAGTAGATCTGCATATACGATCTGGCGGTAGACAATTTTAGGATCAGTGTTGAATTCAGTGGTAGTTTTACTGTTGACATTAAGGAGGAAGAACTTTTGAGAAATTTTCCTGCTTGCAGATTGTTAGATTTGAAAAATTAAAGAAGCTGCGTGACTGTGATGTACCCTTCATAAATGGTATATCATGGTCCTATTCCTAGGAGAGCCTGTACTTGCTGGATATAGTGTTGAACAAATATTAACTCAGTACCTAGCTTTATCTTGCATAGGTTACAGGTATGGAGATGCATTTACTTTTTTATAAAAGGTGCTAATCAAGTCACACATACTATGTATTACATAAAGAAAATATATTGTGACAGTTGGCCACAGGTATGATTGAAAAACTGAAGTTAAAGAGTATCTGATTTCCTTCCACTTGTCCTACTTATGATTAACTGGGTATTCCTAGGAAAGCCTGTACTTCCAGGATATGGTGCTGAGCAAACATTAACTCAGTACCTAGGTTTAGTTTGCATAGGTTACTGTCATGGAGATGATTACCTTGTATAAAAATGTAAATACAAGTCAAATCCAATTAGATGGCAAGTAAATCAGTTTCTGCCATTGTCCAGAGAGCTGACCGTCTAAATTTATCCTGATCCAAATGCACACATGTTCTTTGTTCTAAGCCAACACTTGCAGTTACACCATTAATTCTGCACAGTGTATGCAATTTAAGACTAGTTTTTAGATATATGGAAAAGCAAATGGATTCTGAACCCTTATGCCTATGGGATTTACATCCCATTGGAGCACATAAGGATCTGTTGGGTCAGTCCCAAGCTGTCAACCTGTTAAAACAAAAACTAAATGTAGACTAAGCAGCCACTATTTACTGTGGATGTTAATTACTTATATTTTAGTCAGTGCTTAAAATATTTAGCTGTGTGATTATACATCTAAGATGAGGCTAAGAATATTTCTTAACAGTGTAGCAGTATTGGTATTTCTGGTTTGTTTTATCACAAAGTTAAATGGTTGCTGTTTCAACTGAAAGAAAGTGTTTAAGTAGTCCTATAATGTCAGTCTTTCTAATATTTACAATACAATAGCACACCTGCGATCCCAGGCTGCTATGCAGAAAGCCATGAACTGTCAACAATGTTTCATTGCTCACTCAACAAACATGCCACCCTGAATTTGACCCGAGTTTATCCTCCTGTGTATAGAATAGGAGTCAGTAAAATCATCAGAGACAGCAAAATGCTAAGAGTGAAAGATTGGGTTACTCCAGTAATCCCAAGTGATCAGCAGAGAAGCCCTACTATATTCAGGATTGATTTTTTTTGTCCATAAGCTGTAACATCGCTTTCCTAATTTTATATATCTCCAACAAGAGTTAAATTATGCCATTAATGCACAATCAGCTCAATTCTGCAGGGGGCTGAGCACTCTGGCCTTGACCCAGGAAAGCTCTTAAACCCAGGATATAGTACAGAAAAGGCACTGCCCCTCTGGCACACAGCCTCTGTGTCACCTTTGGAACAAGTCCAGCGTGAGCCATTCTCCATCAAGGTTATATGACTACAAATGAGTCTAGCATTGCTGCTGAAGAGAAGCAATAGGAACAACTGGGTAGGAGAGTGAAAACAATTGTCCCCCTTCCTTAACAATCATGCATGTTTGAATTTGTGGACAGTCAGGCGGGGAAGCAGTTCTGTGATACCAATTTGGCAACTGCCACCTTACTATTCTGGTTCTTAGATTTCAAATTTAAATGATAACATGAAACCACTGACACAGCTAAGTGACTGGAAATTCGGTCTGGCAACTCAGCAAGTCATTTATATTGCAAAAGATTTAAAACAAACTCCCAATTACATTAGAGATATCCTTGGTCTACCCCACCATCAGGGTTTGTAGTTAAAAAAAAAAAAGACCATGCTTATGTATTTAAACTTGACATTCACTCAAAATTCCTGTGGGCCCAGATTTGAGTGGGCTGTGTGGTCCATTTCTGTTTATGTTCATATAGTAAAAGTTCTGTCATTTGCAAAGGCTTTGTATACACCAAATCCCCACTTGCTCCCAGAAGCAGGCTCCTACTGCTCAGCCACAATCAGCCAGCCTTCCTATTCCTTTCCACGTGAGCAAAACCCAGGCAGGAGACAACAGTGAAACCATCTTGTTGGTGTCCTCTGCCCCTTCTTTCAAGCACAGTTGAGACTAAGATACTAAGAGTAACTGTAGGAAAGGCAGCAGAAAGGGATCTCGGAGTCATAGTTGACTGCAAAATGAACATGAGTCATCAATATGATGAAGTGATAAGTAAAACCAACTGCACTCTTCCGTGCATTAGCAGGTGCATCACGAGCAGGTCTAAGGAGGTGATACTTCCCCTCTGTGCAGCACTGGTAAGACCGCAGCTGGAGTACTGTATCCAGTTCTGGGCATCGCACTTCAAGAGAGATGTGGATAATCTTGAGAGGAGAGTCCAGAGGAGGGCCACTCATATAGTTAGGGGCCTGCAGGTAAGATCCTATGAGGAGAGACTGAGGGACCTGGTCTCTTCAGCCTCCACAAGAGAAGGCTAAGAGGGGATGTTATAGCCATCTACAAATTCATTTGGGGGGGGGGGGGGGGCTACAAATTCATTTGGGGGGGGGGGTGGAAGGGAGAGGCAGGCAGAAAGAAATAGGGGATACTCAGGGCGCCCCTTGGGGTTACTAGGAACAATGACCATAAACTAACGGAGAGCAGATTTAGATTAGACATTAGGAAAAATTTCTTTATGGTGAGGGTTGCCAAAATCTGGAATGGGCTTCCAAGGGGATGTCTTTAAGAGGAAACTAGACAAGCACCTAGCTGCGGTCATCTGAACCCAGAGCTCTTTCCTGCCCAGGGAAAGGGGTTGGACTTGATCTACTGAGCTCCCTTCCAACCCTAAAAATCTATGAAAACCCACAGGATGGATTCCCTGCCTCCTTTTTTGGATTCAATGCAGATGGAGCAGAGACATGCTCAGAGGCATGTCCCCTCCCTTCCCTGACCCCTCCCCTCCCCGCCACCCCCCCACTGCCCTGGGGGGAAGGGGAAGGCTCCAGAGCTGCTCCTGCCCTGCTCCAGCCAGGCTGTACGTGGAGCC